CCAGCTGAACTGAACCAGCGTGGTGCTGGGTGTGGGAGGCCCACCTGAGGACTGTTGCCAGCAGCATAAGAGGCAGAACTGCAGAAGAAGAGGAGAAGCTGTTGGGAGCTGTTGCAGCTGATGAAAGCTTTTGGTTCTCCTAGAGGTCCTTGTCATGCTGGCTTTCCTGATGCGGCTGTTCTCATTATCAAAGGAGCTTGGGACCCTGTTGTCACTGTAATGGCTACGATTCACTTTAGGGGAGCTCTGGTCCTCACTTTGAGCATCATTTCTTGGCTCTGGAGGGGAAGATGGTGCACTGCTCAGTCTCCTGGCGAAGCTTGTCATGTTCCTGATAGGACCTCGGCTGTCCTGATCATCAGAGGAGCTCGGGACCTCACTGTGGCTGAGGATGGCTGTGGTGCTTTCGGGGGGAGTTTTGGTTCTTACTTTGAACATCACTTCCTGGCTCCAGTGCAGATCCCTCAACCTGCTGGCACAGATCCTTCATCCCGCTGGCACAGACTTTCTAGTTTCTACCACCGACCTTTGGGCCTTCCCAGTGCAGATCTGTGAAACAGGCCTGCATGAGATATTGTCCTGGGCTCTTGGCTTTCAGTTGGACTCATTGTCATGGGCTCTAGGTCTTCAGCTGGACTTATGCAGGACACTGCCACAGAATCCAGGCCCTTAGCTGTATTCTTTAGTCTTTGGTGTGTGGACAGATTTCCTGCATTCTCTTTGCATATGATTCTTTGGGTGAAGTAATCTTATAAATGATGTGTATTGTCTTGTCCCCTTGTAAATCACAAACTACAATAGTAGGCAAGCGCCAGAGTGCTTGTGTAGCATGCACAAAATCTTGCGCAAAAGAAAAAAAACCCCTTCATAAATAGAGTTTTAGAAATTCTTCCCAGGTAGGAAGGCAAGCAAGAACGTGTGGTATATTGTTAAATCACCAGGTTTAGCAATGGAGAACAGTACCTGATCCTTAATGGCACAGGCGGTGCTTTTAACGGTTCCTGTTTTTGCCCAGAAAGGCCACATTTGGGCCTCACTGACTGGGCCTCTGGGCTTGGTGCTCATTACTGGAAGTCTGACTTACGAACATTGAAGTTGCGCACTGTCACAGACACCAAAGGACCTCGCGTTACAAAAATTCACAGCTGCCAACAAACCGTGGACGCAGCTCGCCTGCCTGCGGGAGGCTGAGGCAGCGACGCCGCTGTGCGCTCACAGAACGGGCACAGTTCAGCCCGGGGTGTCCGGAGGAGGGGGACAGCAGCGGGGATGTGTGTGTGGGGGGGACCGCTGGGAAGCGCGAGGAAAAACCACGTGAACAAAAGTGAGGACGAGGGTCCGGACCAAGCGGGCAGGGCCGAGGCTGCCCGCACCCCAGTCGCTGCCCCTGCGGGGGCTGTGAACGGGAATGCAGTTCACGCGCGTCTGCGTGTGCTTCATGCCTTGCGGTGTGTGTTTGGGTCAAAGGTGTAAAGGACTCCCACGGTCACGCTTGTGGGCCAATCCGGCTTGCGAGCGCTCTCCGGGACAGGGCTCCATCGATCGCAGGCCCTCTGCCCCTGGGGCCTCTGGGCACCTCGCAGGCTTCGGCTGGGGGTCCTTGACCCCTCATGCAGGCGCTGGGAAGACAGAGGACTGGGGAGCAGAGAGGCTTCCTGACGGGCAAATCCGGTGGAAGGCAGAGACAGGAGGCGCGAGGTTTTGGAAGAGCTGCCACCTGCAGGGAGATCTGACCCCGGTCCACCCGGCTCGAAGACGAGTTCGCCAGGGCTTGGCAATACAGCGGCTGGTGGCCTGACCTTCGCAACCAGCAGTTGTAACAGTTGTAACTTTTCTTTCTTGCTTTTAGATTTATTTATTTACTTCTTGTTCCAGTGCTGAGGATGGAACCCAGTTATAAGCATGTAGACAAGTGCTGCATCGCGGAGCCGCCTCCCCACCATGTCCTCCTTTGTGGTACCAGAGATTGAGCCTGGAGCCTGCTCGCAGGCTCAGAAACACTCGCTCATCCATGCCCTCACTCATCCACTCACTGCTAGAGATTTAATCCAGGGATTAACCCAGACTTAACCTTACACTGAGCTACATCCCCAGCATTTAAAACACATTCTCTCTTATGTGAGGCAGGGTCTCTCTGAGTCTCTGAATTGCCCAGGTCGGGTTCCAGCTTGCATTTCCTCTGCTCACTGTCCCCGAGGATTAAGATTACGGGAGTGCCCGCCCGCCATGCCTCAGCCCCCAGCAGTTTAAAAACTTTTTATTTTGACAGCGGTCTCCCTGAGTTGCCCAGGCTGGCTTCAAACTCACACTTCCCCCTCCTCAGCCTTCCAGTGGCTGGGATTACAAGGATATGCCACCGTGAACAGCACATGGTACTTATTTTTAGTTGGCACATAATAATTGCACCTATTTATGGGGTAAAGTGTGATAATTCAGTATGTATATAAATGGATAATGATCAGATCAGCATTTCCATCTCCTTAAACATTTATCATTGTGTGTGTGTGTTGGGAAGTTTAAAATTTCTTCTTCTTCTTCTTTTTTTTTTTCCCAGTACTAGGACTCGAGCTCACAATGTCGCGCTTGCCAGGCAGGCGCTGTGCCGCTGAGCTAAATCCCCAGCCCCTTAAGTTTCTTCTAATATTTTAAAATGCACTGTTGTGTGCTACTATCACAGTGTGTGCTACACGCTGTATTTTGGTACATGTTATCCAGACGCCTTTCACGCTCCTCACTCCCCTTTCTAACTTCTAGTGACCACCGCTGTACACTGTACTTTCCTGAAGTCATCGTTTCAGCTTCCACGTGTGTGAGAGCATGTGGTATTCATTTAAGGGTGCTTGGCTCATTTTGCATAGCAGATCCTCCAGCCCCATTCCCATGGCCGCTGTGGCAGGAGCTCGTCATCCTTTGTTCACGGGTGGGTACTGTGTCATTATGTGTGGGAATTACATCTTATTTATTCTTGTTTCTGTGGAAGGACACATGGGTTGCTTCTGGATCTTGGGTACTGTGAAGAACACTGAGCACATGCACCTCGCTGACCACTGATTTTACTTCCCTTGGACGGGCTCTGTAGTGGGATTGTGAACCGTGTGCTAATTTTTAGGCCAAGGGAACTGAGACAGAGAATCGTTACGTCTGCCAGGTTGGCCTTGACCTTGTGGTCCTTCCAGCTCACATTCCACTGGCTGGGATAACAGGCGTGTGCCACACTACCATTTCTAGTTTTGTCAGGACCTTCCATAACTGCTCTTTATAATGCAATACTAACTTACATTGCTACCAGCAGTACATAGGCATTCCTCCTCCCCTCATCCTAGCCGGCATTTACAATTTTTTCTTTTTGATAACAACCACTGTAATGGGATGTAATGTGATCTGTGTATGGTGGTTTTGATTTCCATTTCCCTGCTTAGAGCTGTTTAGCACTTTTTTCATATATTTGTTGGCTATTTGTATATTCTTTTTAAAGATACATCTATTTCGATAATTTGGTCAGTTTTTAATTGGAGGTTTTCCTTCCGTTGTTTAAGTATTTGAGTTTCTTGTATATCCTGGACGTTACTGCCTTGTTAAATGAATAGTTGGTGAACATTTTCTCCCACGCTGGAGGTTTCCTCTCTTCCCTTTGTTTATTGTTTCCTTTGCTGTGCAGAAGCTTTTTAATTTGCTACAATCCCATCTGTAAAATTTGGCTTTTCTTGCCTGTCTTTTAGGGGTGTCATGAAAAGCTATTACTTACATCAAAGTGTTTCTCCTATGTTTTCTTCGAGAAGTTTCATGGCCTTCCACTTAGGTTTTTGATCAATTCTGAGTTGATTTCTTGTATGTGCTGAGAAGACAGGCATCCAGTTTCATCCTTCTGTGTATAGATATTCAATTGCCCCATCTTCATCTCCTGAAAAGACTGTGGTTTGTTCAATGTGTGTTTTTGCCACCTTTGATGAAAATCAGAGAAGTGGTAAATTTGTGTATCTCCTCCTGGGTTTGCTTTCCCCTTGTGCTGCTCTGTGGTGCTTTCTGAGGGAGATGTGAGCCCCGTGGGGAGCCCAGCTTGCTGCTTTGAGCCCCACCTTTTTGTTGTTGGACTTAGCCAGTGTCCTACTCATGTGTGGTGAAAATATCATTGGGTAGTGAGACTGAAGACCTGGGAAACACTTATTATTGCTTTTGCTAAGAAACTGTGGGCCGGGCAATTCATGCCACCTTTCTGCACCTTTTTGAAACCGTTACGTCCTTTCCAGCCGTAACACTGGAAGGTTCCTGGTTTGTCCCAGGAGCGGCAGGACGCAGGGTCATGCCCAGCCCATGCGGTGAGGGCAGTGGACTAAAGCTGCAGGGACAAGGACAAGTCTCCCTGGAGGCGCCTAATGGGAGGGACCACCATAAACTTGCGGTCGACATACTGCGTGTTAGGGATCATGTTCTACTTGGGTGCTGTGGGACACACCACCCAAAGTGCAGCACCTTAGAGGCAGGTCGTAGACTCAGGAAGGAACTACCCTCACCCCTTCTCCCCTGCAGCGGACCGTAAAACGGAGCTGCTTTTTCCTTGAAAGGGTTCATAAAAACCCCCATTCCAGAGGGCTTCTCGCATCCAGCCGCAGGGAGAATCCGCATCTCTGAAGACGCAGAGACGCAGACCAGCCTCTGAGCCCGACGGCCTGGCTGAATCCGCTCCCGCTACTACCTCGGATCACATCCGTTAGTCCTCCAGTCACACCTCCGCACAACCGTCGTAAAAACACCCGCTTCCCCCACTCCTCCGAGTCTTCATTTTGGAAGGCTCCCACCCATGTAAACCACGAGATTCATGTGTATGCTGTCCTCTTACCAATCCATCTTTCATTACTGGGGTCTCAGCCGGGAATCTCAGGATGGACAGGTGGAGGAAGAACGTTTTCCTCCCCTCCAGAGACTTTCGTGGGGGGTCCTGCTCAGCCTTGGAGGGTGCTGAAGACAGTCTCCCCGAAGACAGAAACATCAGTTGAACCCCGATGGATGAGGAGTCGCTCAGCGTAGGTAGCATGGTGATAGGTGGGAAAAGGTACAGCGGGGCAGCCGAGCAGAGCGCTTTCTACGGGGAACACACACGCACACACACACACACGCACGCACACACACACGCACACACACACACACACGCACACACACAGGTGCAGAAGGGCAGCAGGGCGCAGGGAGAAAGTATCATTAGAATGCAAAGCACGCAGTGAGAAGAAAGCAGAAGTCGCGGGTGAGGGTGCAGAGCCCGCAGAGCCCGTCTCCCTCGGGGCAGCGAGAAGCCCGCAGACGGGTGAAAGACCTGGCTTTCTCACGTCTGCTTTTGTGCCCCGGGATCTAAGGAGGAACCGAGCACTTTACGTGGCGCTGCCTGTGCCCTCCGCCCTGTGCCCCTGGGCGCAGCTGTGTGGGAGAGAGGAGGGCGCGGCTGGGAGCCCGCGGGAGAGCGCCTCGGTCAGCCCCTTCGGAAATGTCTCCTCCCGGGGGCAGGTAGAGGCGGCACTTCTGTGCCCAGCACCAGGGCTGAGGCTTGGCAGGCTGCCAGGCTGCCAGGCTGCCAGGCAAAGCACACTGGCTACCGGGCCTGGGTTCTCATTCGGGGGGCAACATTTACTCCCTGGCACGACAGTCACGGGGTTCAGGACCTGTGACCCCCGAACATGGCACCTCTGCATTTGAGAAAACAGCAGAAGCAGGAAGGTCACTCTCCCCTCCGACCTGCCTCCCTGGCGCAGGCCGTGAAACCTGGGGAGAATTCTGCGGCCTTCTCTGGCCAGATTATGTCAGAGGTGCCCTGCTTTTACCTGGAGGGAAGGCGTGAAGACAGAAATATCCAGAAGGGTCTCAACAGAGGGGCCTCGCCGTGTCCCCCTGCTTAGGATCATTCCCCTGTGTCCAGCCACAGCTCCGTCCCCATGACCGCCTGCCCCTCACCAAACCTAAGCACGGTGACAGGAGCAGACACGGTGGCGCCCACCTCTAATCCCAGCAACCCGGGAGGCTGAGGCAGGACGACCATAGGTGTGAGGCCAGCCTGGGCAACTAAGCAACTCAGAGAAATTCTGTCTTGAAATGAAAAAGAAGAAAGGCTGAGCTTGTAGGTCTCCAGCACTGTGAAGCAAACAAACAAACAACAAAACCCACAGGTTGCTGTCTGCTCTGGGTCTTCATTGCTGAAGGTACCCGTGTCAGAACAGTCGTATCACAACGGTCTAGTAGGTAATTTTGTGTGCTTTTTTCTTATTAACCTGCCTTTGTTGTGTGGGCCCCAGCCACGAACCCAGTGGTGGCTGCGAAGAGGTATTTCCTTTTCTGCAACCTCCTGCAGGCGGTAACCTTTTAGCTTGCTGGTCTCTCAGCACCTTCCTGCTGCAGGATACGGCCCACGGATTGCAGTGACGCGCCCCCCACCCGGCGCAGGCACCTGCCTGTGAGGCTGGCCTTCGCGCCGGACGCCCCGCCTGCATCCTAAATGCAAATTATTTGGGCTCGCTGTAGTCCCAGACCCTCAGAAACTCTGGGGGCAGAGCCCGCGTATCTTGTGTGAACGAGCCCTCCGGGAGGTTCTGGCGAACGCTAAGTATGATAACCACACCGGGGGCAAACTTTAGCAAAAGCATGGGGTCCCTAAGGCGCGTTCTTTCCTCGCCCGGCCGGCCGCGCTCCGCGGAGTGGCCGGCAGAGGGCGCGGAGGGCCCGCTTGGCCTGGGAGAGCCGCTGCTCTGCGCCGGAGCGCCAGGGCCGCCCCAGGGGCCTCTGCCCGGGTGCCCCTGTGCTCGTCCCGGCGCAGCTCCCGCACCCGGGCCTCGCGGCTGCGGGGCGCTGGGGGCTCCGGAGCGGGCTCCTGCGGGTCGGGGCTCCTCTTCCCCTCCCGGCCCCGCAGATCCGTCCGTTCTCCGGCTCACACCGCAGCAGGAACCTGGGGAGCGGGCACAGGAGCACTCGGAGTTCCGCCTGTCTCAGCCACCCCGAAAGAGAAGTAGATCACCCTCCCGAAGAACCGGCGGCGGCACCTGAGGTGTGTTCCCGCCGCTGAGAACCGCTCCAGGTCAGGTTCTGTGGATTCCAGTCCGCCCCCAGTTTGTAGTGGCACGGGCTAGTCATCCCAGCGCGGGAGGCTGAGACAGAAGGATCTCAGAGCTGGAGGCCGGCCTTGAGCTACATGGAGAGTTCAAGGCAGGCCAGCGCTACAGAGCCAGATCCTGTCTCAAAATTTTTAAAAAGGTCAAAAAATACAATCCAAATGAGGCTTCGTTTGTTTTTAAACTTTGAGAACATTTCCTGCGCTCGAGGGGCGTTGGAGTGCGGATCTGGGATCGGAAATAAATGCCCACGTATACAGGAGACACACTTGTAAGTTTGGGAATGTCCAAAGGCGCTTTCTCGGGTTGCGCTGTGATAACTCTGTCTCTACCAGCGGCACCTGCGGAGTGCTCTGGTGAGCGGGGAGGGAGGAAGGGAAAAGCGAAGTCCTTGAAAGCCTGGTTTTGTGCTGAGAGATTCAAGGGAATATACTCTTGGAGCGTTTGCCCCTGGGGCCAGGTTGGCTGCAGTTGGCGGTGAGTTTACATGATGGATTGCAACTGCAGAGCGGTTGCCTTGACTTCAGTCAGTAAGGAAATAACAAGGTGGACAGCGGTCCTGATCTCTCCTTACCCTCCCGCGGGGCTTCTCTTCCCCGCAGCCCTGGGGAATGAACTCAGCCCTTGGTACCCGCTAGGCAAGTTCTACCGCGAGCTGCTCCGCAGCCCTGCCCCCGGGTTTCCTGGTTTGTGTACCTGTTTGTCCGTTGCCCATCCCTTTCAATGGTCTAAAATCCTGCAGCTTCTCCGTTGTTTTCTGGATAATAGGGAACTTTGTCTCACTACCTCCATTTTACTGTCATTTCCGAGAATTGAGGATTAAAGATTAAATGACTTTTCTCCTATTTCATGCCAGTTTCTTCCCATATCCCCTGAAGAGTGCCTGACTTGGGCTGGGAGCTCAAGAAATATTTGCTAAGAAAATAAACAACCCCAAAGCTTGTGCTCTGGCTACTGTACTGCCTTACGTCTTGGTGCTTCTCTCGGGTACAGAAGAGGAGATACCTTGCAACTGTGGAGGAGACAGGCACTCCCATTGTGGGCCAGACCTCAAGAGAAAAGATGAAGCAAATGCACCACATACTTCCCTAAGGATGGACATCAGGCACTGATATTCTAAATAGTCTCTATGACCTTGAGAAGGCCAGGAAGAGCCACTAACCCAACCCCTACAGGACTTCTTCCCCATTTGTTCTCGGTTTAATCAATTTTACCCTGGCACTTATATTCATAATCTTATTGGTTCACCGTGGCTTTGTCCCACCTCCTGCCCACCTTTCGAGTTGCCCTGTTTCCCATGTGGGCCCGCTTCGCACTGTGGATTTGCTCTATAAAAATCCCTTAACCTCTGCTGTTCCTAAAATTCATTCTTCAGTTTTGGAGAACACGAACTCTTACCGCAAGTCTGGCATCAATGTTGCTGCGTGTGGAGGTCGAGTTCTGGCTGTGCTTGTGTTCTTTCTGATCATGCCCTAAGGCAGGGCCGGTCCTCTGGCTCTGAGGTTCCAGCCTACTGGGCTCAGCCCTCTGTCCTGAGCCCCCCGGACAAGGGCTGTGACGAAGGGCAGGAAAGGGCCTTTGATCATCACGGCTACACTGGAAAAGACAAAGAATTTAGATCTGCCTTCCAGGGTCTGGCCCGGCATGATCTCAGGACTGGAAGTTCTGGGAAAGCTGGGATTGCTGGAGGGGCAGGTTGAGTGGCCAGTCTTAGTTCCTGCCACTGGGTACTTGCTTTTCTAGGGGGTGACTTCCTCCTAGAGTGACTTGCAAAGCTCTGATTTTCCTGGAATGGGAGGTGACAGCAGGTTTAGGACAATGATTGGAGTCTGCTAGGAATTGTTCCAGGGGGGCTGGAGGTAGGTGTTATAAAAACTGGCAATTGATTTTCTCTGAAAATCATGGTAATTCTTTCAGTACCTGTTATCTGGGTGTCTTTAGTTTTGAAGGATGAGATAGTCTAGATAAGTTTAAAGCGATCTGCATTCCTAGTATTAGATAGATATTCCTTGTGACTAGTATACCAGCATGCAAAGCTGAGCAGCAATCTGACCCCAGCTGATACGGTAATGGAGGAGGCAGTCACACAAATGAAGGCAGAGACGCCAGATTTTGTCCTGCTTTTAATTATCCTTAAAAAAAAAAAAAAAAAAAAAATTACTCAGGGACCTCTGAAGCCCAGCCTCTAGCTCCCCATTACAGTGCCTCTTTAATTATCAAGTTAAGTCTCTATCTCACAATCTCTGTTCTACAAGATAATGAAGCAGAGGTAACTCTAGTTACTTCAGTAATTGCTACCCATGCATCTGCCCTTCACTCTAAGGTAAGAGCAGCTTTTGTCCTGTTACTGGAGGAAGTTCCTATTGTCCTGGCTCTAGGGTCTGAATAACTCCTGGAGCTGGGATAACTACAGTGGTGCCTTGGCTTATGAGGCTTCCGAACTTAATTTATTTTGCAGTTTTGGGGAATGTAAAAGTCCCACCTCAGACATCAAAGGTTCTAGTTTAATCCCCAGTTCCCACCCCTGCAGTACGGTTAGATCTTCATGTTTACCATAGTTTAATTCTTCAGTTCCCACCCCTGCCATGGGGTTAGATCTTCATGTTTACCATTTCTGGAATGTGTGGTTGTAAACTCATTGTAAACGTCCTGCCCTTCCTGGACTCCCAAAATGTATTGTTTTTCCCCTAAATGCTCTACCCCTCCCGGATTCTCGGACTTACTGTTCCTAAGTTCCTTCATTGTTACAGATGTGACATGTGTTTACCAAACAGGGTGCAGTTTTAGGGTATAAAAACTGCTCTCGTCCCTGGATCAGCACTGGTCTGATCCTTCCTTGCGTGGAGGCTCTCAGTCAGTCCTTGGCCAGGAGTAAAGGCTCGTCCTAAATTCCAATTGGCGGTCCGTGAGTATTGGTGTTTGTCGGTCGGTACCATTTGGTTCGTTTCTGGTTGTGAGTCCAGAACAGGGAAGATGGCTGCGTTTGTGTTTGTGTGGGGAAGATGGCTCTGGTCATGTTTGTCACTTGATATGGAATTTGAGACAGAAGCAAAACTTTGCCAAATGCTCTCGTTTGTGAACCAAATTGTTCATACACAGAAGCATTCCTGAACCAAGGTATTTTATTTTATTTTGTTAGAGCTTCGTCCTAACTTTCTGCTGAGCATACAGTCATGAAAATTAACCTGATTCCTCGGTCCTGGTGTTCTGGTGTTTTAAGTAACCCTATAGCCCTGCAAGTGTTAGCTGTACTCTGAAAAGCTGGGTGAAGCCTCAGTAGTCAAAGCAGAGCTGGGAAAGACTGCCTGGCAGGGTCACTCCTAAAAGGCCTTCGTGGGCCTGCAGTTCTCTGATGGTTAATTTTAGGTGTCAACTTGCCTGGGCTAAGGGGTGCCCCGAGAGGTGAGCGACAGCGTTTCTTGTGTGCCAGTGAGGGTGTTTCCAGAAGCAATTTGCTTTTGAACCAGTAGACTGAGTAAAGAAGATACATCCTCACCAACTCAGGCCTGACTAGCACAAATTCAGAGGAAGGCTGAATGTTCTCTGTGCTCCATCTGGGGAAGCTATTTTCTCCTGCCTGTTGGGTCATTAAAGCCAGCTCTTGGACCCTCAAAGTGGCTCCCCTGCTTTTGAGGATTTTCAGATTTTAAATACACCACCAGCTCTCCTGGGTCTCCAGTTCCCTGTGGGTTTCTTAGGCTTCCATAACCCTGAGGGCTAATTCCTCCTAGAACACCAAAACTAGTGACTCTGGTTCTCTGGAGAACTCTGATTAATGCAAACAAGGTCTTTGGGCTGAGACCTTTGAAGGTTCCTGGTGGTGTCACTCATGTTCCTTTTAGAATTTAATTATATCATTATGTGCCAAGTGTCTGGGCCCTGGGCTGAAAATATCCGGGGTTGGGGCTTTCAGCTGATGTAGGTTTAGGACTGTGCCAGGGATCTAGGGTGATGAGCTGTTTGGTTCATTTCTCCTTCAGCCCAGGCAAGGCCCCAGAGCCTCCTCCTGCTGCAGTATTTCAGTCTGGCTGGAAGTCTTTGTCCAGTGTCCCAAGATGGTGGGTGCTTGAGCCTGGAGCGTGTGTTAGGGCACAGATGCTCACGCTTGACTTTTCTTTTACTTTATAAAGCTCTAAGACTTGGCTCTAGCAACAGGGTTCTTGCCTGTCCTTCTTGTTGAAGCTGTGCTCATGCTCCCGTTCTGGTGACGGAGTCACTGGCCCCTCCTAGGGCCTTTGTCCTGCTCACAATTCACAGAACTTCAGGAACTTTTTGGTCGCCTTCTCTCACCTGCCTCACAGTGGGCATGAGATCAGAATCTTGCTCCCAAGTGCTGAACTTCTGGGTCCTCTGGGTGCTGACTTCTGGCCCCTCCTGATGCAAATTGCTGCTCTGCCTCCTTGGTCTCTGGGCGTGATGCTTCGGTATCATCCATTCTGCCTGGCAGCTGGGCTTCGGGATGCTGATCTAGTCAGATATCTGCCCCTAGCAGAGACATGAGCCGGAAAGATGCACGTGCCACTGGGTCCCATCTGTCCTAGTCTGGTGTAGTATCCCAGTGTCACTCCCTCTGACCTGCTTCACACACCTCTAGAGAGACTTTCTACAGACAAGTGTCTGTTCCTATCATCAGTCAGCGTAACACCCTGCAAATGCTCCTGATGTCTCTGGTGCTGACGCAGGGGAAGGAAACTCCCAACCTGCTAGACATCTGGTACAAGTTTGTGTTCTCTGAAGCTGAAGAATGGATTTTAGGAACAATGGAGTTTAAGAGCAGAATATATTTATCGGGGGAAAGAAAGCTTCGGTCTGAGAGAGGGACAGAAGGGGGCCCCAGTGCGTTGCCAAGGACCCTGCCTTTTCTAGGGATTTTAATAGAGCAAATGCACAAGGTAAGGTGGGTCCAAGGTGGGAAACCTGGGACTTGCAGGGTGGG